CCTTAATGGAAAATGAAACCTGGGAAATTGTAACATTACCTGAAGGTCGAAAAGCAATACTTTGTAAATGGATATATCAGTTAAAAACCAACTCCGAAGCTGAAATAGATCGCTACAAAGCCAGGTTAGTCGTTAAAGGTTATTCACAAAAAGAAGGCGTTGACATCAACGAAACGTTCAGTCCTGTTGCTAAAGGAAGCACTATTAGAGCTCTGCTAAGCGTTGCAGCAAAAGAAAACTTGGATATTGCCCAATTTGATGTTTCAACCGCATTCTTATACGGAACACTTAAAGAAGATATTTATACGAAGCCTCCCGAAGGTTATACCAGTAAGTCCAACATGGTCTGTAAATTAAAAAAAGAGTCTTTATGGCTTAAAACAGGTGCCACGCTGTTGGAATCATTGTATTACACAATATACTTCACAAATTGGTTTTAAACAAAGTGAATCTAACCCTTGTTTGTTTGTAAGGAAGCGGGGAGGTATTAAAACTGTCATAGCTCTCTATGTCGATGATGGATTAGTAGCAGCAACAAATTTAAATGAAATAGACAATTTTATGGTTGAGATGAGTAAAAATTTCAAAATCATCTTCAAAACTGCATCGTATTTTCTCGGAATTAAGATCGATAGAAAAGTAGATGGATCTATAAAAATTGATCAAAAGGGATTTACGAAAAGGATACTTGAACGGTTTGGTATGCAGAAATGTAAACCAGCTGCTACACCGATAACGAAGGATATTAACAATGACAAAAAATTTCAACAATGAAACTAATCCAAAAGTATCATTCCCTTATCATCAAGCCGTGGGTTCCTTATCCTTTCTGATGAGTGGAACTCGACCAGATATAGCATTTGCTATAGGAGTTGTGTCACGAAATCTGGTAAATCCTACGGCAGAAAATGTGGCTAATGTGAAACCCATAATGCGATATTTAAAAGGCACAACTGAGTATGGTATAATTTACAAGAGTTCAAGTAATTGCAATCATTTAGAGTGCTATAGTAACGCAGATCATGGAGGTGATCATAGCACTGGACGGTTGACATCAGGTATTCTGTGCATTTACTCTAGTGGTGCAATAGCATGGCAAAGTAAGCGGCAATCTAGCGAAGCTATATCTACAGAAGCTGAACTAGTTGCCGCCGGTGAAGCAGCAAGAGAAATCATTTGGATGGATAAAATATTAAGATTTTTAGTTGATAGTTGTGAAAGTATTCCCAAACTACATCATGACAATGAATCGGCTATAAAGCTAGCCCAAGATCCACCATTTGAAATGCACCATCGAACGAAACATATTCGTATACGACACGTCTTTATAAGAGAATGTGTTGAGCAAAGAAATTTAGAGGTGCTGAAAACATGTGCTAAAGACCAGCTTGCTGACATATTAACAAAATCTTTATACAAGCCACGAGTTTTGGAATTAACTATAAAAATGGGCATGAAGTTTTAAAAGAAAGGCGAATGTTAATAAAAAGAAAAAGGCATCTTACACAGACTACTAAGAGGATACTACGCATGCATCTTAGCAACGCTCACTTGTTGATTGTCACGTTGTTGTAAAACTATGGAATAAAACTTCTATTAATTTTTCTTATATTGTTTATTTAAAACTAATGTACGAGTATACGTTTTAAATCTTAACACTGTGTGCTCGTTTGTTATTCTAATAATATAAAAAATTAGACCTCTAAAAATAAAAATAAAAAGATATATGTAATGAAGTTGAATAAGACTGCATGCCACGATTAGGTATTATTGATAGTGTCAATCTCTACAAAAGTTAGGTTAGAATTAGCAGCATTTCACTTATTTGCAATTATTTTTAATTCAATTCCTATGTATTCATAACATTAATATTATAAGATGAGAATTTTTTTCCAAAATTTGTGTATAAATCGCTCAATTAGGTACTACTTAATTCAATAGGGTATTTTCCTTTTTCTATACACGTATATATTAGATCGGCTATGGTTGCGGATATTTTGTCTGCAATGGATATTAAGTCTATTGCTCGTATTTTGCCAATACCTGGCGCTTTGTTCGTTAGAATGTTTTTTTATTTTTTTAGCTCCTGAGCTTATAGTAGCCTTTTGATATCGAAATGTTACGTTTACAGGCAATCTGTACAAGTTCAACGGTAAAAGGGGCCGATTGTGATTGATTATTGAAGCGACAGTAGCCTAATAGCAGAGCGCGGACCGCGAACTCAAAAAGATCGTTGGTTCTAATCCGCCATTCGACTACTGGCGTGAACTACTCGTAACACAAGCCATTTAAGCTTATCATGAGTGGTTAAGGGAATATTAGTAATGTTTATAGCATTATTAATATTCTATTAAACAAAAATATTTCAGGAAGGTACGATTCTTGAAACACTTTTCTAAAAGGCCTCAGCGAAATTATAAGCGATATCAAGGGGCGTCACTTTATCATTTTCAAATGAATTTAAAATTATATTATCGATGGAAGGACTTGTCCGTCCCGTGATCTTATTTAGTATTTGCCAAAGTCTCATCTGGTTATTTTTGTTATTATATATATCCGTTTTGATGTACCAATTTTTTTCAATCAAATCAAAATCATATCGTCAGTATTTTTTAACCACAAAGAAAACTAATAGTCCCTATTCTCACATGCCCTTTTAGTCCTTTCATTAACCCATTTATTTTCTGTCCTCGTTAATGCCCTATTTTTTTTTCAGAATTGTTGTTAAGGCATCATTGTAGGGTAGGCTGTAATCTATTAAAATTATCTTAAATAAATTTGTATATTTCAATGGGGCAACTAATAATACTAATAATAATAATAATAATAAGAGAGTCCTCCAGCTGTACAAAATTGACTGTACAGTTGGAGACTTCCTCGAGCAGTGTATGGGGCAATGGAGTACGATCCTTTGCTATCTGGGCGAGCGGATGATGGCTGCGGAGAACCACATAAGGATAAGAAGGGGTATCTTCCAGGGCGATTGTCTGAGTCCAATCTGGTTTTGCCTCTCCCCTGAACCCTCTCAGTACTTTACTGGAGGGCTCCGGGAGGGGATTTCAGCTTCGGAAAGGAGGTAAAAAAGTGACCCACCTTTTCTATATGGATGACCTCAAGTTATTCGCCTCCAGTCGCTCCCATCTTATGGAATTGCTAAACATCACTTGTGAATTTAGCAATTCTATTGGAATGGAGCTGGGAACGGATAAGTGTGCGGTCCTCCATGTTGAAAGGGGGAGGGTTGCTAACTCTGAGGGCATAGACTTATCTATGCCCGTCAACTTAAGGACCCTTTCCGAGGCTGAAACATACCGATACCTGGGTATGTCACAGAACATCGGTATCGATGAGGCTAGTATGAAACAGTCAGTTTGCGACGTGTTTTATGCACGCTTGACCAAAGTGCTTAACAGCCTTTTGTCCGGTGTGAATAAGACACACGCATATAACAGCTGGGTCATGCCTGTCCTCATGTATACCTTTGGCATACTCAGGTGGACTCAGACTGAACTTAACGCCCTGGATAGAAAAGTCCGCACTACCATGACGTCCCACAGGATGCATCATCCGAGATCGTCGGTAATGAGGCTGTACTTGCCGCGAAAGCATGGTGGGCGTGGCTTCTTGAGCGCGCTCACCATGCATAATCGCGAAGTGTGCAGCCTCCGTAATTACTTCTTGGCGAGATCGGATGATCCATTCTATAAGGACGTCATTTCTAGTGATAAAGGATTTACCCCTCTATCCTTAGCCAACGAGCAATGGCAAGACCCGGCAGTGCAGACAATTTCCGACCGGGAGAACGTATGGAAGGAGAAGGAGCTCCACGGGAGGTTCTACAAGGCTCTACATGAGCCTTTCGTAGACACAGTAGCCTCCCTCCACTGGCTACGCTTTGGTGAACTCTTCGGGGAAACAGAGGGTTTTGTCTGTGCAATACAGGATCAGGTTATTAAGACCAACAACTATCGGAGATACATCCTAAAAGATGGCACCGTGGACATCTGTCGAGCTTGTCGCCATCCCGGTGAGTCACTTAGGCATGTCATCTCCGGTTGTTCGGCGCTTTCTAACTCTGAGTACTTGCACAGGCACAACCTAGTAGCCAGAATTCTTCACCAGGAGCTCGCTCTGAAATACGGTCTCGTGGATCGGAAATTGCCGTATTACAAGTACTTGCCGGAAGCCGTGCTCGAAAATGATCGCGCCAGGCTCTATTGGGACCGGGCCATTATCACAGACAGGACTATTCTTGCGAATAAGCCTGATATTGTGCTGATGGACCGGGCACAGTCAAGGATATTTTTGGTCGACATTACCATTCCGTATGACGAGAACCTCGTGAAAGCCGAAACAGACAAGCAAACAAAATATCTGGACCTGGCTCACGAGGTGACGGACATGTGGGGTGGTCTGCCGACCGAAATTATTCCTGTAGTCGTCTCTGCAAACGGGCTAATCCCAGTCAGCCTCTCGGGTCATCTGAGGCGACTGGGACTACGTGGCGGACCGCTCCGGGCTCAAATGCAAAAGGCGGTGCTCCTCGATACCGCCCGCATCGTCCGCCGGTTTCTTTCCCTTTCCCCCTAACCCTCGGCCGTTTGGTCTCCCCTGCCGAGGGCCTCCATCTGGTTGGGCTTTTATTTATTTATGTATTTTTATATTTATTTTATGTTATTGATATATATGTATATTTATCTTTTCATTTTCATTTATAATTATATATTTATAGAACCCAACCAGATGAGAAAACTATATAGATACCCCACAAAATAATAATAAAAAGGCGTAGGGAAGTGACGACCCCATCGCCCGCTGATATAACGGTTATGTGACAAAACCGCTACGTCGGCGCAGTCAGTCAGCACCTTGCCAAGAGGTGTTAGTGCCGTGCCTCGGCAAAAATTGAAGGTGCCAAGGCCCGCTTGTGCACATGGCCTAACCATGAAACGGCGCCGGGTCTGGGCGTCTCCCGCTAAATGACGCCCTACCAATGGATGATGGAATACGGAAATGGAACGCGCAAAGGGCCGCTGCCTGGAGGTCGCCAGGGCGCGTCTGGAGCTGGCGCTGGACGCGACAGTATGCGAACCGCCAGCCGAGCGCGAGGTGCTGCACGACCACCCAGCAGCTCCTCGCATCCATCATCCCCACCAGCTGGCTTGGTGTCGGCAGGGTCTTCGCGGGCTCAGCAATCGGCACCCGCCACTGGTGGAGTACGCCGCATGCGTTGGACAACCCAGATGAACAGCAACGCATTGCGGGCGTATTTTAGGGCGAAGGGTGGAGAAACTGGAGGTTTTGCGTATCGGGCAAGGATGCATCGACTTTTTGCTGAGCTGAAGCCATCTGTAACCGTCACCGAGCAAAACCTGGCAGACCGAGTTCGGTATATCTTGCGCTCAAATACATTTGATGTCACCGTACTCGAACGGCTACGACGTGAGGCTGTTCCTTCATCGGGTGAAAATGCTGCGGCTGAGGATGCGGCGCCACAACTTGCCGAGCAAACGGCAAATGTGGATGCCGCCGTGAATACGCCAGTTGTGGTTGATTCAAACGATGATGGAACAGTCGCCCAGGAACTGGAACTAGAGCAAATGAGGAGTACATTGGAAGAGGCGATTGTGGAAACGCGCAGTACGACTCTCGAAAATCGACCGCGACTTCCCCGCTTAGCCCTAAGCAAGCGGAATCGGGCTGTCGTGAGGGCTCTGAACCCAATGCTGGTTACCTATTTGGAAGCCAGCCGGGACCTTTGCGCGACGGACTCAATTCTTTTTGGCGCCGCACTGGCAGTCTGCCGTATTATAGGTGCCAAACTTTCCACGGCTGGACGCGCTACTGGACAAAGTAGTGCTATCCCAGCCTGGAGAATAAGAATTGAAGAACGTATCGCAAAGGCTAGGGCCCTCATCGGCAGACTGATATGCTTCAGGTCAGGCAATACCAGGCCAAGGATTGTGCGCACCGTCAGGATGGCGTTTGCTGGGACAAATGTTAGTTTGTCCCAGCCGGATATAATGCAAAAACTGACGGAGCGCATAGACGACCTGAAGCAAAGAATAGCTGCTTGGGGAAAGCGGATTCGGCGATATACCGAGAGGTCGACACGGTTCAACCAGAATCGTCTCTTCCAGAGTGATCAGAAGAGGCTCTATAAATCATTGGAGCGACCAATAGTAAGTGGAACGGGCCCTGCACCAAATCAGGCCGACATGGTCGCATTCTGGCGCAGCCTGTGGTCAGAGCCCGTAAATCACAACGAGGGCCCTTGGACGGAAGTTGTGGCGAGTCAGTGTGCGAGTATTACGCCCATGGACCCCGTCATCATAACGCCGGATGACGTAGCTGAGGCGGTCCGTAGGGCCCCGAACTGGAAAAGTCCGGGGCTTGACGGGCTGCATCACTACTGGCTGAAGGGGTTCATGGTGTGTCACTCTGTGCTCGCCCGACAGTTTCAAGAGGCTCTCAACCAGAAGTCGCTCCCAAGCCTCTTCACTACTGGGATCACTCATTTGGTTCCAAAAGATCAGGGCGCCACAGACCCGAGCAAATACCGCCCCATCACGTGTCTACCGACCATATACAAGACACTGACATCCATTTTGAGCGCGAGAATCGCTCGTCACCTGGAGCTAAACCAGGTGATGTCACGCGCTCAAAATGGATGTCGGGGCGGCGGTCGTGGAACCAAGGAACCACTCCTCATTGACGCGGTCATAGGCAAAGTGGTGAAACGCAACCGTCGGAACTTCTCCGCCGCCTGGATAGATTACAGAAAGGCGTTGACTCGGTGCCCCATACATGGCTAAAGAGGGTCCTCGAGCTGTACAAGATTGACTGTAAAGTTCGAGACTTCCTCGAGCAGTGTATGGGGCAGTGGAGTACGATCCTCTGTCATCTAGGCGAGCGGATGATGGCTGCGGAAAGCCGCATAAGGATAAGAAGGGGTATATTCCAGGGCGACTGTCTGAGTCCAATCTGGTTCTGCCTCTCTTTGAACCCTCTCAGTACTTTACTGGAGGGCTCCGGGAGGGGATTTCAGCTTCGGAAAGGAGGTACAAAAGTGACCCACCTTTTCAATATGGATGACCTCAAATTATTCGCCTCCAGTCGCTCCCATCTTATGGAATTGCTAAACATCACGTGTGAATTTAGCAATTCTATTAGAATGGAGCTGGGGACGGATAAGTGTGCGGTCCTCCATGTTGAAAGGGGAAGGGTTGCTAACTCTGAGGGCATAGACTTATCTATGCCCGTCAACTTAAGAACCCTTTCCGAGGCTGAAACATACCGATACCTGGGTATGTAACAGAACATCGGTATCGAGGAGGCTGGTATGAAACAGTCAGTTTGCGACGTGTTTTATGCACGCTTGACCAAAGTGCTTAACAGCCTTTTGTCCGGTGTGAATAAGGCACACGCATATAACGGTTGGGTCATGCCTGTCCTCATGTATACCTTTGGCATACTCAGGTGGACTCAGACTGAACTTAACGCCCTGGATAGAAAAGTCCGCACTACCATGACGTCCCATAGGATGCATCATCCGAGATCGTCGGTAATGAGGCTGTACTTGCCGCGGAAGCATGGTGGTCGTGGCTTCTTGAGCGCGCTCACCATGCATAATCGCGAAGTGTGCAGCCTCCGTGATTACTTCCTGGCGAGATCGGATGATCCATTCTATAAGGACGTCATTTCTTGTGATAAAGGACTTACCCCTCTATCCTTAGCCAACGAGCAATGGCAAGACCCGGCAATGCAGAGCATTTCCGACCGGGAGACCGTATGGAAGGAGAAGGAGCTCCACGGGAGGTTCTACAAGGCTCTACATGAGCCTTTCGTAGACACAGTAGCCTCCCTCCACTGGCTACGCTTTGGTGATCTCTTCGGGGAAACCGAGGGTTTTGTCTGTGCAATACAGGATCAGGTTATTAAGACCAACAACTATCGGAGATACATCCTAAAGGATGGCACCGTCGACATCTGTCGAGCTTGTCGCCATCCCGGTGAGTCACTTAGGCATGTTATCTCCGGTTGTTCGGCGCTTTCTAACTCTGAGTACTTGCACAGGCACAACCTAGTAGCCAGAATTCTACACCAGGAGCTCGCTCTGAAATACGGTCTCGTGGATCGGAAATTGCCGTATTACAAGTACTTGCCGGAAGCCGTGCTCGAAAATGATCGCGCCAGGCTCTATTGGGACCGGGCCATCATCACAGACAGGACTATTCTTGCGAATAAGCCTGATATTGTGCTGATGGACCGGGCACAGTCAAGGATATTTTTGGTCGACATTACCATTCCGTATGACGAGAACCTCGTGAAAGCCGAAACAGACAAGCAAACAAAATATCTGGACCTGGCTCACGAGGTGACCGACATGTGGGGTGGTCTGCCGACCGAAATTATTCCTGTAGTCGTCTCTGCAAACGGGCTAATCCCAGTCAGCCTCTCGGGTCATCTGAGGCGGCTGGGACTACGTGGCGGACCGCTCCAGGTTCAAATGCAGAAGGCGGTGCTCCTCGATACCGCCCGCATCGTCCGCCGGTTTCTTTCCCTTTCCCCCCTAACCCTCGGCCGTTTGGTCTCCCCTGCCGAGGGCCTCCATCTGGTTGGGCTTTTACTTATTTATGTACTTTTATATTTATTTTATGTTATTGATATTTATGTATATTTATCTTTTCATTTTCATTTATAATTATATATTTATAGAACCCAACCAGATGAGAAAACTATATAGATACCCCATAATAATAATAATAATAATAAGGCGTAGGGAAGTGACGACCCCATCGCCCGCTGACGTAACAGTTATGTGACAAAACTGCGACGTCGGCGCAGTCAGTCAGCAACTTGCCAAGAGGTGTGAGCGCCGTGCCTAGGCAAAATTGTGGATGCAAAGGTCCGTTTGTGCATATAACCGAACCGCGAAACGGTGCCGGGCTTGGGCGTCTCCCGTTATTTGGCGCCCATAAAATGGATGATGGAAGAAACACAGAAAGGAACGCGCATAGGGCCGCTGCCTGGGGGTCGCCGGGGCGCATCTGGAGCTGGCGCTGGACGCGGCAGCATGCGGGCCGCCAGCCGAGCGCGAGGAGCTGCCCGATCACCTAGCAGCCCCTCGCATCCATCATCCCCACCAGAAGGCTTGGTGCCGGCTGGGTCTTCTCGGACCCAGCAAGCGGCACCCGCCGCTGGTGGAGCACGTCGCATGCGTTGGACAAAATCCATAAACGAAAACGCATTGCGGGCGTACTATAGGGCGAAAGGGGAAGAAACTGTGGGAATAGCGTATAGGTCTCGGATGCATTGCTTTTTTGCTGAGCTGGAGCCGTCTATCCCCGTCACGGAACAAAACCTGGCAGACCCAGTTCGGTACATCATGCGCTCGAAAATATTTGTTGATGCTGAACTCGAACGACTACGACGTGAGGCTATTCCGTCGTCGAATGAATCGGCTATGGCTGGAGATGCAGCTCCACATTCGACAGACCAGCATCCACACGTGGAAGCCGCCATGGATCTTCCAGTTGTGGTTGATTCGAACGACGATGAAATAGTCTCCCACGAACTACAGCAAATGAGGAGTATATTGGAAGAGGCGATTTTGGAAACGCGCAGCACGCCTTTCGAAAATCGACCGCAACTTCCTCGCATACCCCTAAGCAAGCGAAATCGGGCTGTCGTGAGGGCTCTTAACCCAATGCTGGTGACCTATTTGGAAGACAGCCGGGACCTTTGCGGGACGGACTCGATTCTCTTTGGCGCCGCAGTGGCAGTTTGCCGTATTATTGGCGCCAAACTTCCCATGGCTGGACGCGCTACTACACAAAGTAGCGCCATCCCAGCCTGGAGAAAAAGAATCGAGGACCGTGTCGCAAAGGCAAGGGCCCTTATCGGCAGGCTGACAAGCTTCAGGTCGGGTAATAATAGACCGAGGATTATCCGCACCGTTAGGCGTGGCGTGGCGTTTGCTGGGACAAATATCAGTTTGTCCCAGCCGGATATCACGCAGAAACTAACGGAGCGCATAGACGACCTGAAGCAAAAGATCGCTGCTTGGGGGAAGCGGATTCGACGATTTAACGAGAGGTCAAGGAGGTTCAACCAGAATCGTCTCTTCCAGAGTGATCAGAAGAGGCTCTATTAATCATTGGAGCGACCAAAGGTATGTGGAGCTGGCCAAGGACCGGATCAGGCTGACATTATCGCATTCTGGCGTGGCCTGTGGTCAGAGCCCGTAAACCACAGCGAGGGCCCTTGGATGGAAGTTGTGGCGAGCCAGGGTGCGAGTGTTACGCCTATAGACCCCATCACCATAACGCCGGAAGACGTGGCTGAGGCGGTCCGTAGGGCCCCGAACTGGAAAAGTCCGGGGCTCGACGGGCTGCATCATTACTGGCTGAAGGGGTTCATAGTGTGTCACGCTGTGCTCGCCCGACAGTTTCAGGAGGCTCTCGACCAGAAGTGGCTCCCGAGCCTCTTCACTACTGGGATCACTCACTTGGTTCCTAAAGATCAGAATACCACAGACCCGAGCAAATACCGCCCCATCACGTGTCTACCCACCATATATAAGGCACTGACATCCATTTTGAGCGCGAGAATCACTCGTCACCTGGAGCTAAACCAGGTGATGTCACGCGCTCAAAATGGATGTCGGGGCGGTGGTCGTGGAACCAAGGAACCACTCCTCATTGACGGGGTCATAGGCAAAGTGGTGAAACGCAACCGTCGGAACTTCTCTGCCGCCTGGATAGACTACAGAAAGGCGTTCGACTCGTTGCCCCATACATGGCTAAAGAGGGTCCTCGAGCTGTACAAGATTGACTGTTACAGTTAGAGACTTCCTCGAGCAGTGTATGGGGCAGTGGAGTACAATCCTTTGTCATCTGGGCGAGCGGATGATGGCTGCGGAGAACCACATAAGGATAAGAAGGGGTATCTTCCAGGGCGATTGTCTGAGGCCAATCTGGTTCTGCCACTCTCTGAACCCTCTCAGTACCTTACTGGAAGGCCCTGGGAGGAGATTTCAGCTACGGAAAGGAGGTATAAAAGAGACCCACCTTTTCTATATGGATGACCTCAAGTTATTCGCCTCCAGTCGCTCCCATCTTATGGAACTGCTAAACATCACTTGTGAATTTAGCAGTTCCATTGGAATGGAGCTGGGGACGGATAAGTGTGCGGTCCTCCATGTTGAAAGGGGAAGGGTTGCTAACTCTGAGGGCATAGACTTGTCTATGCCCGTCAACTTAAGGACCCTTTCCGAGGCTGAAACATATCGATACCTGGGTATGTCACAGAACATCGGTATCGATGAGGCTGATATGAAATAGTCAGTTTGCAACGTGTTTTATGCACGCTTGACCAAAGTGCTTAACAGCCTTTTGTCCGGTGTGAATAAGTCACACGCATATAACTGCTGGGTCATGCCTGTCTTCATGTATACCTTTGGCATACTCAGGTGGACTCAGACTAAGCTTAACGCCCTGGATAGAAAAGTCCGCACTACCATGACGTCCCATAGGATGCATCATCCGAGATCGTCGGTAATGAGGCTGTACTTGCCGCGAAAGCATGGTGGGCGTGGCTTTCTGAGCGCGCTCACCATGCATAATCGCGAAGTGTGCAGTCTCCGTCAATACTTCTTGGCGAGATCGGATGATCCATTCTATAATGACGTCATTTCCAGTGATAAAGAGGTTACCCCTCTATCCTTAGCCAACGAGCAGTGGCAGGACCCAGCAGTGCTTAGCATTTCCGACCGGGAGACCGTATGGAAGGAGAAGGAGCTCCACGGGAGGTACTACAAGGCTCTACATGAGCCCTTCGTAGATACAGTCGTCTCCCTCAACTGGCTACGTTTCGGTGACCTCTTCGGGGGAAACCGAGGGTTTTGTCTGTGCAATACAGGATCAGGTTATTAAGACCAACAACTATCGGAGATACATCCTAAAGGATGGCACCGTCGTCTGTCGTGCTTGTCGCCATCCCGGGGAGTCACTAAGGCATGTCATCTCCCGGTTGTTCGGCGCTTTCTAACTCTGAGTACTTGCACAGGCACAACCCAGTAGCCAGAATTCTACACCAAGAGTTCGCTCTGAAATACGGTCTCGTGGACCGGAAAGTGCCGTATTACAAGTACTTGCCGGAAGCCGTGCTCGAAAATGACCGCGCCAGGCTCTACTGGGACCGGGCCATCATCACAGACAGGAATATTCTTGCGAATAAGACAAAACAAAAAAAAAAAAAAAACCTAACAAACACCCCCCCCCCCAACAAAAAAAAAAATTTAATTTTTATTTTTAATAAATAAAAAAAAAAAATAAAAAAAAAAAATAAATAAATTAAAAAAAAAAAAAAAAAAAAAAAAAAAAAAAAAAGAAAAAAAACCCCCCCCAAAAACCTGATATTGTGCTGATGGACCGGGCACAGTCAAGGATATTTTTGGTCGACATTACCATTCCGTATGACGAGCACCTCGTAAAAGCCGAAACAGATAAGCGAACAAAATATCTGGACCTGGCTCACGAGGTGACCGACATGTGGGGTGGTCGGCCGACCGAAATTATTCCTGTAGACGTCTCTGCGAATGGGCTGATCCCAGTCAGCCTCTCGGGTCATCTGAGGCGACTCCTCCCTCCGTGACGGACCGCTCCGGACTCGAACGCAGAAGGCAGTGGTCCTTGATACCACCCGCATCGTCCGTCGGTATCTTTCCCTTTCCTCCTAACCCTCGGCCGTTTGGTCTCCTCTGCCGAGGTCTTCCATCTGGTTGGATCTTTATTTATTTGTTTTTTTTTTGTATTTATTTTATTTTATTGATATTTATGTATATTTATCTTTTCATTTTAATTTATAATTATATATTTATAGAAACCAACCAGATGAGAAAACTATACAGATACCCCTAATAATAATAATAATTGATTAAAGGCGTAGGGAAGTGACGACCTCATCGCCCGCTGACGTAACGGTTACGTGAGAAAACCACTAAGTGAGCGCAGTCAGTCAGCACCTTGCCAAGAGGTGTTAGTGCCGTGCCTCGGCATAAGTTGAAGGTGCAAAGGCCCGCTTGTGCACATGGCCTCACCATGAAACGGCGCCGGGTCTGGGCGTCTCCCGTTGAATGACGCCCATTAAAATAGAATTAGAGCTCTCATCGGCAGACTGATATGCTTCAGATCAGGCAATAACCGGCCAAGAATTGTGCGCACCGTCAGGATGGCATTTGCTGGGACAAATGTCAGTTTGTGCCAGCCGGATATAATGCAAAAACTGACGGAGCGCATAGATGATCTGATGCAGAGAATCGCTGCTTGGGGAAAGCGGATTCGGCGATATACCGAGAAATCAAGGCGGTTCAACCAGAATCGTCTCTTCCAGAGTGATCAGAAGAGGCTCTATGAATCTCATTGGAGCGACCAATGGCAAGTGGAACGGGCCCAGCACCGAATCAGATCGCCACTGTAACATTCTGGCGCGGCCTGTGGTCAGAGCCCGTAAACCACAGCGAGGGCTCTTGGACGGAAGTTGTAGCGAGTCAGTGTGCGAGTATAACTCCCATGGACCCCGTCATTATAACGCCGGATGACGTAGCCGAGGCGGTCCGTATGGCCCCGAACTGGAAAAGTCCGGGACTCGACGGGCTGCATCACTACTGGCTGAAGGGGTTTGTGGTGTCACACTGTGCTCGCCCGACAGTTCCAAGACGCTCTCAACCAGAAGTCGCTCCCGAGCCTCTTCACTACTGAGATCACTCATTTGGTTCCTAAAGACCAGGATACCACAGACCCGATCAAATACCGCCCCATCACGTGTCTACCGACCATATACAAGACACTAACATCCATTTTGAGCGCGAGAATCACTCGTCACCTGGACTCAAATCAGGTCGTCACGCGCTCAAAGTGAATGTCGGGGCGGTGGTTGTGGAACCAAGGAACTTCTCATTGACGCGGTCATTGGCGAAGTGGTGAAATGCAACCGTCGGAACTTCTCCGCCACCTGGATAGACTACAGAAAGGCATTCGACTCGGTGCCCCATACATGGCTAAAGAGAGTCCTCGAGCTGTACAAGATGGACTGTACAGTTAGAGACTTCCTCGAGCAATGTATGGAGCAGTGGAGTACGATCCTTTGTCATCTGGGCGAGCGGATGATGGCTGCGGAAAGCCACATAAGGATAAGAAGGGGTATCTTCCAGGGCCATTGTCTGAGTCCAATCTGGTTCTGCCTCTCTTTGAACCCTCTCAGTACTTTACTGGAGGTCTCCGGGAAGGGTTTTCAGCTACGGAAAGGAGGTACAAAAGTGACCCACCTTTTTTATATGGATTTATATGACAGGCGAATAACTCAAGTTATTCGCCTCCAGTCGCTCCCATCTTGTGGAATTGCTAAACATCACTTGTGAATTTAGCAATTCTATTGGAATGGAGCTGGGGATGGATAGGTGTGCGGTCTTCCATGTTGAAAGGGGAAGGGTTGCTAACTCTGAGGGCATAGACTTATCTATGCCCATCTGTTTAAGGACCCTTTCCGAGGCTGAAACATACCGATACCTGGGTGTGTCACAGAACATCGGTATCGATGAGGCTGGTATGAAACGGTCAGTTTGCGACGTGTTTTATGCACGCTTGACCAAAGTGCTCAACAGCCTTTTGTGTGGTGTGAGTAAGACAGACGCATAATATAAGTGAATGGACAAGCATGATCTTAGATTTTGTGGGAAGAAAATGTTTTAAACGATACAGAAAGCATAGCGTGGCATTGACTTTACGACTCACATCTGAAACCTGAGTTCTCCAATTCAGCGTGCTGTCGATGTGAAGGCCAAGATTTCTAACAGAGTTACTGAATGGAATTGTAGTATTATCATAGCAAATAGGAGGTAAGTCTGCCAGATTAATCTTAGCCAGCATCCTTGAGCTACCCACCAGTATAGCTTGGCATTTCAAAGGACTGACCAAAACTTCATAACGAGTAGACCAATCCTTGATAGCTGCTAAGTTGCCGTTAAAGTTTTTGATCCCATTATGGATATCCCCAATCTCAGTTTGCACATAAAGCTGAAGGTCATAGGCATACAAATGGTACGAGCAGTCGATGATGGAGGTAATAAAGTTTATAAAAATTGAAAACATTATAGGAGAAAGAATACCGCCTTGCGGCACACCAGCATCCACTTCAGCCCAAGCTGAGGACAGTTGCCCCACACTGACTGACTGTTGTCGACCGCGAAGTAAGATGCAAACCAATCCAATTCAGTAGGGCCAAAATTCAGATGAGACAGTATGGAAAGAAGGATTTCATGATCAACTGTGTTGAAAACATTTGAGAAATCAACTAGTACCAGTACTGTTATTTTTTTTTCTTCCATGCCTTGTTTAATATTATCAATAACATTAATTAATGCAGTAGTGGTACTATGACCAGGACGAAACCCAGACCGATACTCAGTAGGTTATGTTTCGAAATAAAAGTAAAAATTTGCTTGTAAACAGGATTCTAAAACTTTGGAAAGAAAGGGTAGAATGGATATTGAACGAAAATGGTTGTGAAGAATAGGAGTAGGAACTTTTGGGAGAGGCTTTACAAAAGCTCTCTTCCAAAGATTAGGATACTGACCTGAACCTAGGGAAAAATTTATTATATGGGAAAGTGCCGGGAGAAGGTGCTCTAGTATAAATACTACCATATGTCTACTAATCTCGTGTAGCACATTTCGTGGCTTTCGTTTCGGTGCCTTAAATACTAATATTTCACTCTTTTTTGAGTTGTATTTTAGGCCATGCTCCTCCGCATATGTCTCGCAGATAAAAAGCAGTTTCCTCAGTCCTGCTATAGAAGGACTGAGCAGCACCATGTCGTCAGCATAGCTTATGTGGTTGACACATATGTCACCGATGTGGCAGCCAACATGTGTGCTGCTAAGTCGTTCAATCAGTTGGTTTACATACAGGCCTGTATTCTTCCGACAGAGCTCCAACCCACCTTACCTGGTTACGCTGGTTAGCATACCAGTATCTTAGTAGAGCCGTGTACTCCGCTAGCACACCCGCGTCCCTCAACTTGCCCCACAGCATGTCGTATGCGATCAGGTCAAAAGCTTTCGATAAGTCGAGGAAACACGCGTACACCGGCGTCCGCCTTACGGTGTAGTATTTGACAGTGTGTTTCAGACAGTAAATGGCGCTCTCCGTCGATACATTCAGTTTAAACCCAAATTGTGCATCGTTTATTAATACGTATTTGTTGAGACACTCATTTAACACACTGTCAAATACCTTGGCTGCAGTGGTTGCAAGCGAGATAGGTCGTTAATTACCCATGTCGGATGTGTCCCCAGTTTTATTTTTAACAACGGATACTACAATAGTCCTCATCAGCGGCTCGGGTAAGTAAGAGTGACTCAAACACAGGCTGTAAAACAGTGAAAGGACTCGCGGAAGATGCGCCCCAGCATATCTGAAGTATTCGATTCTGAGACCATCATAACCAGGCGATTATCCTCTTACCATCTCTTTTAACTATTATTTTTTCTATTTTTTTGCATGTATATTTTCATTTCGTTCTGTCATGATAGTCTCAGCTTCGCTCAAATTCAAACCTGAAACGACATTTAAGGGTGACCTTACAGTAAAATTGCATCTGAATGCATCCGCAATATCCTTGTGATCATAAGCACCCCCAACGCTCACCGGAAGACTCGGCTTAACATTCATTTTGTTTGTGTTCTTCCAGAAGATTTTAAAGTCTTGAGAAGAGTGATTTGTCGCAATAATATCCATCTTTAGCTGTTTTTGTCTGTTTTGACACCATTTTAATTTGGCTAGCTCAGAAAGAACAGCAAACAGGTTAGCCTGTTTGCTCACGACGCGAATGGCGGGAATTGCAAATTTTTTGCTGACTTGCAAATTTTGCTATATTTTTAACTTTGAGACAATATTTATGGATAAAACTTACAGGAATTCTTGTTAAATGTATAAACTATGGAATAAAATTATTTTTCATAAATTACCCTTTATATCATAGTAGTAGTATATACTTCACTTTTAGTGCCACAATTACTACTAATTTGAATTCTACACTTTTGATTTTGGAGAAATTTATATGAAAATATTTGGAAATATGTATATTTTTATGTTTTATGTGTTTGTGTTCGTTACACATACCAAAATATAAAAAAATAATAAAAAAATAATAATATTTATCTGTATATAGCGCAAAAATGAGCACCATCATCTCAGCACGCGGCTTCAGCAGCTTGAAGGATGCCATACAAGCAGCAAAAGACGAGGAGTGCACGTCTTTCCAACCACCAGGTAACATTTTGTATTCATCTAAAAATGGACACCACTCGGTACACAAATTTAGACGTTCTCAAGGTCAAAGAGGAATTTACCGTAGTCAATATGGTAACAATTACCATCGTGGGCATAAATTTAATAACCACTACAATCAAGGACAAGGTTCTAGCGGAAATTCTAGAGCAAATTATCGTCCTTCATATAATAATCAACGAGGAAATAGAGGTTCTAGATATGTTAGGAACCGTGGACGAGGTCAAAACTCATTTTCAGTAGAAAAAGTAGCTGACACTCATCAATGCGATAAAGACGACAATGCAGGTACATCGAATCAGTTTTTTCGATCCTAAGCATTTTATATTATCATTACAAGGTGATGCAAAATATGTTACTTTTTATATTAAAAACATTAAATACTATTGGCTTATTGATACGGGTGCAACATTGTCAATTATTAAAAATGAAGTACTGCCAAAAGATATCATTGTTAATAGAGATAATACTATAATAAATGGAATAGGTGGTCAGCGACGATCTCAAGGTTCTGTAAATTTAATATTAAAATACGAAAATGCCACGTTTCAGAACAATTTTCTTGTTTTTGAATCGCTACCACTAAAAGCAGACGGAATCATAGGCTTAGACTTTTTAGAAAAATTTAGTGCGAATATTGATTTAGGTTCAAATAATTTAACACTTTTTAACAGTAATAAACAACATTATCTACATTTTGTTGATGAACATGATAGGATGAAAAATTCTATGATTATTCCAGCACGCTCGGAATCAATTCATTTTATTATTGTGAATGAGGATGTAACTGGAGAAGTAGTAGTATGCAGTAAAGAGTTAACGAAGGATGTCTTTATAGCAAACGCAATAACTACAGTTAGTAATAGTAGAATTCCAGTTAAAATACTTAATGTTAGTGACAAGGAAGTAAACTTGCCATCTTTCACACCAGATTTGAAAAGTTTGTATAATTATAATATTTGTCAATTTAATAAGACCAATATTGACGTTACCAGGGTTAAAACTTTGCTATCTGAATTAAATTTAAATTATTTAGACGGAGAAGAGAAACAATCAATTGAAGCAATTTGTGCAAAATATTCTGACATTTTTTATTTGGAAGGAGATAAGTTAACGACAACTAATATTTATGAGCCATCTATTGTTTTAAAACAAAACTCCACTCCAGTTTACGTCAAGCCTTATAGGTTACCACAGGCACTAAAACCAGAAATAACTAAGCAAGTTGAGAATATGTTAGAAAATGATATAATCGAAGAGTCAAATAGTGAATGGTCCAGTCCAATATTATTAGTACCTAAGAAAAGTAGCAAAGGTAATGAGAAAAAATAGCGTTTAGTTGTAGATTACAGAAAACTGAACGAGGTTATTTGTGACGACAAATTTCCTCTACCAAATATTAATGAAATTTTAGATACGCTTACTGGAGCCATTTATTTTACTCATCTTGACCTTCACCAAGGTTACTATCAAGTAAGTTTAGAGCCTAGTAGTCGTAAATTAACAGCTTTCACTACAAATACTGGTCAATATTGCATGAAGCGTTTACCAATGGGTTTAAAGATCAGCCCTAATGCCTTTAGTCGTATAATGTCTGTAGCGATGTCTGGTTTAACTTACGATAAATGTTTAGTATATCAGGACAATCTCATTGTATTTGGAAGAAATCTGTCTTCCCATAACAAAAATTTAATAACTGTCATGGAGAGATTGAGAAAAGTAAATTTAAAACTAAATCCTCAGAAATGTGAATTTTTAAAGAAAGAAATTCTTTATTTAGGACATTTGGTTACAGAAAAAGGTGTTTTACCAGATCCAGAAAAAACAAAAGTATTACGAAATTATCCTACTCCCAAAAATGCAGATGAAGTAAAACGGTTTGTAGCATTCTGCAACTATTATCGTAAATTTATAAGAAATTTTTCGGATATACTCGTAGCCGTAATACCTTTGAATAAGTTAAGTAGGAAAAATGAACCATTTATTTGGTCTGATGAATGTCAAAACGCTTTTGAATTTTTAAGAAATGCTTTAATATCATCACCAATTTTACAGTATCCCGATTTTTCCGAAAATCATGAATTTATTTTACAAACAGACGCCTCGGGTACTGCTATTGGTTCTGTATTATGTAATAAAGATCTCAGACCAGTTGCATATGCCAGTAGATCCTTGAATAAAGCAGAAAGAAACTACCCAACTATTCAAAAAGAACTTTTGGCAATAGTGTGGTCCGTTAAGTATTTCGGACCATACTTGTATGGAAACAAATTCACCATAATGACAGATCACAAACCATTAATATATCTTTTTGGTATGAAAGATCCGTCAAGTAGATTACTTAAATTTCGATTAACTTTAGAAGAATATAAGTTTAAAATAGTCTATGTGAAAGGAAGAGACAATGTTGTGGCAGATGCTTTATCGAGAGTTTGTATAACGTCTGATGAACTTAAAAGTATGAATGAACAAGTAATGGCTGTAATGACCAGAGCGCAAAAGAAAAAGCTGAATGAGTTAAGTAAGAGTAAGAATGACGATGAAAAGAAGGATCTTAATAAATCCATTAACAATTGGCCTGATCAACCAAGAGTTGTGGATATATTAAGAAAACCGTGTGATTCAGTAGAAATGTGTTTGATTGAAGGCAACAAATTAAAACAAATTAGAGATAATGCCTTGATAACTGAAGAATTTGAATGTTTTACATTTATAGAGGGTAAAAAGACACTATACATTAATCTTGATTTCAAGGCGCATTTCTCGCGAGCCGAATTTGTGCAGAAATTAAGCAATTTTTGTGAAAAGATACGTATCACTGAAGTGTGTATAATTAAAAATAATGATAATATAGAATTTATCAAAAGTGTTTGTGATGAAATAACAACACTTAGTAATTGGTCCGGACCGCGAATATGCATATTACGAGGCGTAAAAAGAATAGATGACGACAACGAAAAGACACTTATTATGAATGACTTTCATTTACTGCCATCCAGCGGTCATGCTGGAGTGCGCAGAATGATAAATACAATCAAAAGTCGATACTATTGGCCAAGTATCGACAAGGATGTCCAGGAATTTGTTAAAAAGTGTACAAAATGTCAGAAACATAAATATTTTCGTAACATAAAAGAACCGATGGAAATTACCACAACAGCTTCCTCGGCTTTTGAAAAGATATACTTAGATGTAGTGGGACCCTTAGATAGAGACGAAAATGGTAATTGTTATATATTGACATTAACAAAATTTGTACAAGCTATTCCTTTGCAAAACAAAGAAACAGTGTCCATTGCAGATGCATTTGTTAGACAGTTCATATTAAGATTTGGTATTCCAACGACAATAGCTACACAGATCGAGGAACAGAATTTATTTCTGCAACCATGGAACAGGTTTGTAAAATACTTAATATAGAAAAATTATCTTCTACAGCCTATCACCATCAGTCGATTGGGGCTCTTGAAAATGCTCACAAAACTTTGGGTGCATTTTTAAGGATCCAGTGTGACAATCATACGGATACATGGAGCTATTGGTTACCATTTTGGTGCTTCAGTTTTAACAACACAGTCCATTCAGAAACAAATTACACGCCATATGAACTTGTTTTTGGAAAACCTTGTCAAATACCCGATAGCATAAGTAATACCGTAGAACCATTGTATAATATAGATAATTATCCATTACAATTAAAATACAGGTTACAATTAGCTCATGAAGATGCAAAGAAAAATTTGCTGATTAATAAGCATAAACGGAAAGAAATATATGATAAGTCTGTCAATTCTGCAAAATATGAGAAAAATGATTTGGTTTTGGTAAAAAATGAAGCACGTAGTAAGTTAGATGCAATATTTAAAGGTCCCTATACAGTTATAGAAGATTTAGGTTGTAACGTAAAAATAATTAAAAATAATAAAATTGAATTAGTACATAAGAATAGGACTAGGCCTTTTTGTCAATAGATTTGAATGTAAGATTTAATTTTAGATAACATTGCAATGTATAATGATAAGGATAAACGTATGTACCATTTTATTTGTAATAAGTAACTTATGTCTATTAAACACTATTATTTTAAAAGATGATACTTCAAGTAAATATCTAGTAAAAATTATGTAAAAAAAAAGAATGTACCTAATTCTTTTTTTTTTCTATGTCCTCGGGAGGTGAAGTGTAAGTCTAATATGTATGCTCCTTTAGTTTAGTAAGTAAGTACGCTACTTTATAACCGTATGTATGCTGAGTTTGCACTATACCTTATATGCATTATTTTAGATTATTACCAGACATTCATTAAATAGTACGTAACTAATGTGGTTGTTTCCTTGAATAACACTCATTCAGGAACCCCAACATTACAGACATTTCGAACAATATTTCAAATATATTTTTGTGTGAATTTGAAATAAATACAACGTCAAGTTATTTGAAATATGTTATAAAACTATTTTTTAGTTACATTTTACACTAAAAATAAATGAAAATTGGAAAAATAACACATTATTCACCCAACCGCCAAAATGGGCCTTCTCGATTTCGAAGTATTTTGGCACTTACTTTTCACTTTTTATGCCACAAATTATATATCTACGTGTTTACCATATTACAAGGAATACAAAAAAGTATAATACTTTCGTTTTTAGTCCAGACACAAATATAAAATTCTATAAAAAAGACGGAGCACCTTCTGCAATGCGACACGTGGAACGCCGAAAGTTCAGAGTGATTTCGAGTGAGAGTGAGAGAGTGTACGATATATTACTTTCCTCTGTGGTGATTTCCTTTTTTTCTTCTAAGAAACATTGCCAGGTTATGGTTTAAAATAAAAGAGCATATCTTTGTCTTTTACTATATTATTCATTGCATATTGTCTTTGGTTTTGTTTAAAACAAAAAAATATTTTTTCATAGGGCAGTATTTGGTATCAAATTCGATACCGTCCTGAGCCAGCCGTTGATGTTTGATATCGAATAAGGGTAAGGCCATGAGCTTACGCATTAAAATGCTTTCTAGATTCTGACATCTCTTCAAATACGCGACCCCTGGAAGGCTGCCCAGCCATCATCCACTCTTGATATTTAAGCCGCGCCTCCTGATGTGGGCCCGCGACGTGCTTATTCCACCCGGTCATGTAACTTCCCTTTTTTCTACATTTATCCCTATATCCCTATATGTACGAATTGCTGCCAGTGATAGTATATTTATAATATTACCGTACATATTATAAAGTACAGCGTGATGTTCCTTGTTACTACAAGATTTATCACAACAGTCTCTTAGTTCCTCTGGAAAATCTATAATTCTCAAGTTTGTGTGACAAAAATCGTGATACAGTTTTATCTGTTGTGGAGTCCTGTTGCCCCAACTAACACGATTCACAGGTTTTCTCATTACCTGCTCCACAACCTTAGGCTTAAGTTTATTTAAATTACATTCCACCACAAGTGGGTAGTGGTCTGACCAAAATACATCATAATTAACAGATACGCTTACTGCTGTTTCACGCACAGAATCAGTGACTATGCAGTGGTCCAGCCACCTGTTACAACCATGAGCCTCACTATGAAAAGTAAATGTATTTTTATCACACATACTTGCTGCAATTCGTGTATAAATAGATGTTTGCTTAAGTTAGGCGGACGGTATATAGCGAGTAGATTGCAAGTGTAATTCGTGGGTGTGATATTTTTGTTAGTATTCCCTCAAAAAACTATAAAAATTTGAAATTACTGACCCTAGATTAGTTTTATGGGTAATCTATAAGTCAGTTGGGTTAGTACAGTTTTTTTAATTCAGTTACATTATTAGGTAAATTCATTGTTATTATTCTGAATATGTGGGAACGTATGTAAGGTAAAAAATTTTGAAAAAAGAAAATATGCGTTGATATATATATATATATATATATATATATATACATAGAATCGATACTATTAGCGAATTACCTACTTAGGCTCTAAGTAGTCTGACGATATCTTCTTCGCGACGGATTATGATGATGTCACTTTGTTCTTCTTGTCGTGCTTGGGTGATACCTCGTTTATACCATACGGACTTGTAGCTTGGTTTAAGCTTTTGTCTCGCTTCCCATAGTAATTTCCTGTTACAATTTGATAAAGCTTTACGTAAGTAAATAATCTGTTTCCCTATCGCCTCCGTCAAATTATCCACGTTATGATGAGCATATAACTTAGAATTTTTCGCTGCAGTGATCCATTTTGTTGATTTTGTTTCATTTATAAATGTAATTTCAATATTTCCTAGCTTTTCTTTTTTTCCTTGTACACTTTCTGTAGTGTCAATATTGGTCAATATCATTAACAGAGATCGATAATTTATCTGCAATTTTTTTGACAGTGTCGTTAACTATTTCCGTGTTATTATGAGGTATATTTAATATTTCAATATGTTTGTTTAGCAATGACTGTTCAATATCCTTTAAACGTTGCTCTAGTGCACCAACGCGCGTTTCTAAATAATTATTTTTGTTAGAGAATTCTATATTTGTCTTCTGTAGTTCTTTAATTGTTAATTTAAAGGCATCTATAGATACTGTCATCTCGATAAAATATCGCTTTGATGTTTATGATTTCACTATGTCTCGCAGTGCTTTTCGAAGAGCTTTTTCTATCTCCTTTGATATATCTTTTTTTTGGAATAGTTTCCTGTATCTTGAACATTATCATCCTTTTCCTCTTCCTCTCCATCACCGGGAACGTAGATAAAGCTACGTCTCGGGGAATGTTCAAGACAATCTTGGCATGTCCATCCTAAATTCTCAGCGGCCTTTAGTGCATTCCTTTGCTTGTTAGTAAGACCAGAACAGTTCCCATTTAAGGACACTATTTTCTCGCACTGATTACATTCTAATCCATCCAGGATTACTTTTGGGTATATTTTTTCCACATTTATTACATTTTGTCATGTTTAGGGTAGATGAATACTAAGCTTATGGAATTAACTTAACGTGCCTTTAGGTCAAACGAACGACGATGGATGATGGTTAAATGTGTAATAATGAGGGATTTTCGTCTGAGATGAGTTATATTTAGGTATTACGCACCTAGTAATTATCAATGACGTCGTCTACTAAATACTACTTTTTACTTTAAAATATGAGTTTTTGCAAATACAAGCAGGATTTGTTTTATACACGAATGACGCGAAGCCGATACAAGTCGATGAGGTGTGTACGTGAATGGTCTCGCCTATCTTTCTCGCTCTAACATACGTGCATTATCAATGTATTCTAACGTCGGTTTATACTTTTTTTTTTAACATGGGGAAATGCCTACGCATACCCGCCTCGTGGGGGCAAGGACGGGTTATGTCGGACTCGCACCGACTAAAACCCCATGGTGTTCCACCTTCGTCGCATATTGGCAGGGCTACGGAAACGCTTTCGCACACTTCCGCGGCCCTACCAGCGACTGCCGCCCCATGGCAGCACCTCCTCGGGAGAGGAATATTCCTCCCCGTTCTCCTTCCCAAGTAAGGCGCACCAGAACACATGGCACGCCTTCCTCCACGGCCTCCAATTGCATCTGCGCAACAGACGCCCCCGCGTCCGATGCGCGAAGGCCATGGGGCCAGGAAAAACGAGCACTTAGAAGTACTAGCCTTCCCGACCCCAGCGGCGGATCTGGTCTATGGCTCCGCCGCCAACCAAGATTCGGCTGCGGAAGATATGGAGAGTGGCGCCTCGCAATACCGACAATCCTCTCCCCCCGCAGCCCCATCACCACCGCATCAACGGTGCGGCCCCGTTTGAGTCGCGGAGGATAGGGCGAGTGGCGCATCGTCATACCAACACTCATCTTCCTCCGCGACTCCACCTCGGCTGCAGCGGTAGACGGTGCGGAGTCCCCACTTGCTGCAGTCCACCAGCACACATCCGAAGTGGGCTCCTCAAGCCCACTCGGAGTGGCCACCTCAGGCCGGCCCTTCACCTCGGGCCAGCCACGTGGGTTCCTCTTTGTTCACCGTGGGAGACCAAGCCACGGCTACTAAGCCCCCCCGCCACGACAAGGCGGGAACCCGTTCGGGGGGGAACGTCGGTTTATACTAAATATGTGGTTATGAGAGAGAATGATATGCTTATATATATATATATATATATATATATATATATATATATATATATATATATAAGCATAAAGCATAAACACTCACGCCTGTCACCCAGAGGGGTAGGCAGAGACCACGGACTTCCATTTGACACGATCCTGACTTCGCCTCCTTTACATCCATATATCTACGCATACATGCTTGTCGGTTAAGGATACTTTTAACGTGGCCCATTTTCAAAATATCGCCAATTTGGTCGATAAACTTTTTTCTTAGGCGTCCCTTCCCGACTCTGCCGTTCACATCTGCCATATAAATTTGTTTTGTCACTCTTTCCTCATTCATTCCTTCTACATGACCAAACCACCGAAGCATTCCTTTCTTAATCCTGGTTACAACATCATCTTGCATACCACATTTATCTCTTATCATGCAATTTCTCAACCTGTCAGATTCAACCCTAGCATACTCCTTAAAGACCACATTTCTACAGCATTTATTCTACTTTCGTGCTTCTTCTGCCACACCCAGCTTTCACTACCATACATTAAAGTAGGGACTAACACAGCATTATGAATTACCATACGTGCCTTTTTAATACATTCTGGTTCTTCACAATAGAGTGTAGTGCCTCATTCACTCTATTCCCTGCATTTACTCGTCGTTCCATATCCTTATCATATCTACCATCCCTGCTAAATACACATCCCAAGTACACAAACTCATCCACTTGCTCAATTAATTCTCCTTCTATTCTTATTTCACATACCGTTTTGCTTTCCTCTCTTTCAAAAACCATCACTTTCGTCTTACTTGCGTTCACTTTCATTCCCCTTTCTTTTAATGCCCAGTTCATTAATGTAACCCTCATTTGCAACTCAGCCACCGATGACGCAAATATGACTTGATCATTGGCATACAAAAGGCATTTGACGGTTAACTCGCCCATTCTTAACCCACATTCTTCATCTTTCAAAGTTTGCAAACACCTGTCCATAAATAGGTTGAACAGCCAAGGGGAAGCCACACAGCCCTGTCTGACACCTTTTCGGATGCCAAACCAGTCCGAGTAGACCCCATTGATCCTGACACAAGCACTAGAATCCCTATAAAGAGACCTCAATGCCTGTATCAAACCAGCGCTCAACCCATATGAGTTCAATGTTTGCCATAACACATTCCTGTCCACTCTGTCATAAGCCTTTTCCAAGTCCATGAACGCACAAAAAACTTTCTGGTTTTTAGCCAAAAACTTCTCCGCAATCGTGCGCATGGAAAAGACTTGATCTGTATTTTTCCATCAGTTTCTTTCATAACTCTTTCAATTAACACCTTAGCATACAGTTTACCCACAATACTAAGCAAGCTTATACCACGGTAGTTTTTGCAGTCATGCTGTGACCCTTTCATTTATATATTGGTACTATAACTGCTTTACACTAGTCATCCGGTACCCGTTTTAATTCCCAACATAAATTAAACAAGCTGTACAGCAGGCCTGCCACCACTCCCTCTCCAGCCCTTAGCATCTCGAGTGATACTCTATCATATCCAGCTGCCTTACCTGCTTTCATGCTTTTCATTGCTTTCATTATTTCATCTACACTTATCTCCATACCCCCTTCCACTTCTTTCAGAATTTCTAGTTCATTTAATTCAGACGACTCTTCACTCATAAACACGCTTTCAAAGTAAACCTTCCATCTGTTTAAATTCGAAACTTAATCATTCAGAATACATCCATTCTCGTCTCTTATAGCATTAATTATAGGCTGTTTTGTATTTCCCCTGGCAGTTCTTACGAGTTTCCAGAACATTTTTATATTAGCCTGGAAATTATCAGATATCCTTCTATCATTCTTATCCGTTCTTTCTTTCTTTTTCCTTTCAACTACTTCTTTTACTCTTTTATTTAGACGTCTAAATTCTGCCTTTTTTCTTTCAATCTCATCATTCATACTACCAGAATTACCAGTTTTAGTTGCTAGTAAATCTAACCATGCTTTCTTCTTTGATTCAACTTCCACCCGCACCTCATCATCCCACCACAACGTATTCCTTTTCCTTTCATTTGTTCTCTTACTTACACCACATACTTCGGTGGCTGCATCCACCAAACCTTTCTTAATATTATCCCACACAGTATTCAAGTCTAAATCATTCATACAAAACTCATTCAAACACCTAATATTTTCTCTCAGTCTACATTTATACTTCTCTTTCACATCTTCATCTTGTAACTTCTCTATTCTTATACGCTGTAACGCAGTGGTAGACACAGATGTCCGATGCCGCCAACGCTTGAAAAGACCATTAATTCGACATAAGACCAAGTAATGATCCGTCCCTACGTTGGACCCCCGGTAAACCCTTGTATCTACCTTGTATCACAATTACGAAATCTATCATGCTTCTATCATCACCTCTTTCCCATGTATACATGTGAATCTTCTTATGACGAAAAAAAGTATTCGTCACAAAGAGATTCTTTTCAACACATACGGTGAGGAGGTCTTCACCATTCTCATTTATACTTTCATCACCAAACGTTCCCAATATCCTTTCATAACCAGACCTCTTCACCCCAACCCTTCCATTAAAGTCTCCTAACATAATAATATTTTCATTTTCCTTACATTTTGTAAACACCATCCTTACCATGTCCCAAAACTGCTCTCGGATGTAAGTGGGCTTAGACATGTCTGGGGGGTACACCCCTAGCAACAACAGCTTCTTTAAGCCCACTTTCATTCGTATCCATAGCAGCCTCGGGCTTACACATTCATACTCTTTCTTTCTGAAAGGATGAAACCGACTCCCTGGCATTCCCATTCGGTCTCGTCTACACCAGACCAATACGCGGTATACGTGCCATGTGCAGTGGCATCCTTTCCCTTTCGTTTCGTTTCATTTACACATAACACATCTATTCCTCTGTCATTCATCATTTCGCATACTTCATCCATCTTATCATTCATTGCTCCACATACATTCAGCGTAGCCAGATGGGCTTCCGCAATCCACTTTTCGCCCCTCCGGGAGACACAACGTGACGGGTGGTGAACCTCGTCGTCGGTTTTTCTCCCGGAGATTCTTCGCACCCCTGTCCCATTAAAGGGGCGCCGGGAACTCGGGGCCATTTCTTTTATCTCCTGACTCATAGTGCGAACAAGGGGTGGTGGTAGATTTTACGCCGCTACCACACGGCGGGAAGCCTAGTCTATTTTTTTTCCGGCTTTGTCGCTCGTTTA